AGTATATTTAGGAAAGAAGTTGTTGTTAATGAAAAGTTGGGCACGGTCTGAGACCTAAAATGCAGCCAAAATGTTTGTCATCAACTTCGTTTTTACAAATACGACTACGTCTGTTTAACAGCAAATTGTGAAGCCTCTTTTTATTCTGAATTCAACGATTTATAACATGTGAAGGTAGTTACGTTCTGATCACTTAAAAAAATCATTATTGTGGAAATTGTAAACATTTTGGCGCTTAGAGATAAAAATGTACCAGACTAAATTAGTAAACATATTAAAAAACTACAGGCAAAATTTCCTATACAAAAAAGTGATTTTGTCTCTGCAAAGAAGGATAATTTTGAAACATGGAAAGGAGAGTATTTGATAAAAGTTTAGTTTCCAGCAATGGTGTATTCAACAGAAGAAATGTACATTTCTGGTGCAAGCAAAATCCTCATTTATACAGGGAGTCAAGACACCAACACAACATAGGTCGGACTTAATATATGGGCTGGAATTTTGGGAACAAGGATAATAAATCTGCTTCAAATTTATTTAGAAGAAGCGCTCTATCTGCCTTTAGCCGAAGTACGCGATTGTTGGTCTCAATAGGACGGTGCGCCTGCCCACGACTCAAGAAGGGTTAGAGAATATCTGTCGGTTCTGAGACGCCCTGGCCAGCACGGTCACCCGATATTACTCCACGTGATTTATTTTTCTGGGATCATCAAGAATTAAGTTTATGAATTAAGCAACTGAAGAAGAACTCGGTAGATTGGTTATTGCAGCTTTTGAGAGTGTGACGCCATATGATCAAACCTGTTTAGAGTCGACAGTTAGAAGATGCTATTTGTGTTTCGAAAATGTGGGTAATATTTTTGATCATTTGATCATTTCTTACATTATTTAGGCATTTTTAATAGTTTTTTTAAGTGAATTTTAATACATATCCATATCAGTACCAGATTTGAAAAGCATTCCCGTGTTTACCATTTTTCGAATATTTGCTAAAAAGTCCATCAAAACATAACTAAAAGTCAATTTGTTATACATCGTTGAGATCAGAAAGAAAAGAGTTTTTACAATTTGCCTGCAAATAAACAGGGCCGTATTTTAAAAAATGTTGTTAAGTTGATGAAGATTTCTTAAAACCGAAACGTTGAGACAAAAAACTGATTAGGTGGTTTTAACGCTGTCCTACAGTTGCCCTGAGAAAGTGTAGTCGATTTCGCCCCAGCTTTGATATTAACGCCAGAAAAAATCTATTGAGATTCGAAAACTTCAGTCTTCCAAATAAGTCGGAAACGAAAATTCGTAACAAAGATTTGAGAGCGCTATTTAATTAATCTTTTAGCTGCCCCATTTTTTCCCATTTATCCAAGTTATTTACGGTTTCCGATATCCCCATATTGGTGCTTCTGATCTTGGACAAATTGTATACCGATTAAAGAGTCCGCGAACAAACATACGGCCATTTTATAAACATTTGCTATCGAAATAATAAAAAAATCATAATGCAATTGGAAACAAATAGGCAAAATTTTGCATTGAATGTAATTGAGAAAAAAAATATTCACTATTCCAAATTCAAATTGGGAAAAAACGAACACAAGGTGCAAATTAAAGAGATCAGGATTTGACCAGACCAGTCCCTTTCTAGCTTGGTAGCACCGGAAATTTCTCATAAAAAGAGTGTACTTATTCATCACCATTTTTTAAGTTCCTGAACACAACATTTTCCGAACAAAGTAGGTAGGCAATATTCAACATTTACCCGTAACACCAATTTTATTTTCCGTCATTTTTTAGCCGAATGCTGTCTGAAAACACCAAAATCAGAATCAACTACATCCTTACCTTGCCATTTTCGTCAAACAATGCAAGCTGACTGTGGCACTTTGGGCAATTTGGTTCATTTGTTACAGTCAGTTTTCTATTTGCAACCGAAATTGTGCTGCTGGGTTGAAAAGCGATCTGTTCAATGAGCATGTCGTACCTCGAATCCCTGAACACCTTAGCCAATTCATCGAAGCTGAAATATTAAAGACTTAAACAGCCGATTAAACTTAGACGTGATCGTATTACTCTATTTTGTACACAACGGGTTTGTCTGTGGCATTTCCACAACTGTATGTAAAACTATGGGCATTTTTCTCTGGCTTGTAAATGTCCTTGATCGTTCCGCAATGTTTAATAGGAATGTTAGCTAAGGCTACGCCTGTTCTGCCCGATATAATCAGGAAGTACATCTAAGGAATGAACATACATGTAAGAGCAGTCACTTGGTGTTTTTGGATAGACTACCGAATTTAAGACACATAACAATTCCACAACGCCATCGTTATCCAGATCGGTTATAGCTATTGGATGCATCAAAGATGTGACGCGATTGGCTTCCTCTTGTGAATGGGCGTGCCAAAGAGTTTGGCCAGAAACACTCTCGATGGCTTTAAGACCCTAAAATGTACATTAAGTTGATGTTTTTTTGGTAAATAAATAATGTTTAAAGTTACTTTTAAATCCACCACCAGGCAATCTAAATGGCCATCCTGATTGGCATCTATAATGCTACAGTCCATTTCAATGGGAACAGAATCTTGCTCAAAGTCCCAGGCTACATTGCCTAAATACATATATTAAAAAACCCACGTTTTGAGGACTTATTTTGGATCAATTACCTGTTAACCCCATGAGAGAAATGATGCCGTGTTTAAGGGTTTTATCGCTGTTGATGCTCCCTTTGTACATAATAACCAGATTGTAGTTCGTTTTATATGCCCCACTGGCGAGATTAATTGGCCCCTTCAGTTCAATGCCTTCTTGCTGATATTCCCAATTGGAAATTTTTATGGGACAAGTGTTTAGCTCTGAGCAAGGCAAAACCCACAGAAAAATGAGCACAGGCAAAAAGCACAGGATGATAGAGCAAATAAATGTAAGCTGGAAATACGAGATTGTCCAGAAGGGCCCCACTGTTTAGGAATTGTTCACCCACCTTTCGAGCTGTGGACATTTTACTGGCCCCCCGTTTAATCTTGACTGTGTCCTCATCCAGCCCTATGCGGTTCCCGTTCTGTCGATAAGAATTTTCTGACTTATTGGTATTTTTTGAATTGTAGCTAGTGCATATAGGGTCCATGCTAATTTCCTTCTCAGAGTCCGAATCGCTCAAGGATTGAGGCAACGGTGAGTAAATTCCTTGCATTGAATGAGCCATTTTCATTTCGAGGTCTCTTATGCTCTATCAGCTAAAAATAACTAAATTTATAGAACTTATTGATTCCACAATAATTTCTGTTTTGATTTTTAAATTCTTGACAGTCGACGCCAATCAATATTGTGGTTACGTTCAGAACGCCGGAGTTTTAAAGAAGCATTGGGCTGAATTACGGGCGCGGCTATAAGTTGGTTGGGTATTTTTTAAGTTAAATTTAAAATTTTGTTGGAAAAGAAAGTGTTAAAGTATTTTGTAATGCACATTATTATATTAGATATAAGATTATATCATAGCTAATCGGGGTTAATACAGAGGAAATAAGCAAATGTTTTAAAAAATAAATCAGATAAAACTGCAAATATGTATGTTAATTAAAAAATTGGTTTTAAAGAAAAGACTCAGACAAAAATAAATATAATATGCAAACAATAAAGTTATACTTTTGCATGTCTTTGTGAGTTATAACTCAAAACGATTGAAGGTCGGTAAATATTATTATTAAAATATTTTTGATAGGGCAGCTCAAGAAATGGTTTC